TCGGAGCCGGAGCCGGAGCCGGAGCCGGTTACCAACTCCAAAAAGACGCACTTGTCTCTTTCGGTGGGAACCTCAGGGGCATCAGAAGGAAGTCCGATTCGGGTCCGTGATTGGAACACCCGTATCTCACTGACTTTACTTGGCGGTTCCCGCCTCGTTTGCCCCGGTAGGTTCTCTGAGGTTTTTAGGGTTTGGTGGTTAAGTGTCCCTTGCACCTACTGAAGTTGAAGGTTAGCAGGGCCCAGTGTAGCAACATTTCGTGGCTGGACCATCTATTGCAAGCAAGGGGTTTGGACTTTTTGGGTCGATCCACTCAAGCGGGATGTAGGCACTTTTCAATTATACGAGGAATATATGAACTACCCTCTACTCCAAATACCCACTTTTTTATGGTATTTGTTTGAAAAAAACCCGGGTTTCCATGGTAAATACCTCGTTTTTTTAGTAGAGGGTCGACGTGATACCTGAAAAAAAAGAGGAAGGTATCGGGTGTCAGGGGTATGGTACCCCCCTTTTTTTTGTGGGGGGGGGGGGGGGGTAGAGGGTCCGGATCTTCGGATGGGTTCAGGATCCATGTTTTTCCTGCTTTTCGCCCCTGGAAAAGGGCGGCTTTTTCAAACCACGTGTAAAGGGACACATCTTGCGGGGTTGAGCCCTGGAATCCAATTTCTTGGTGGCCCCCAGCCGTCCGGTTCCTTAGCTTTTTAGATCCTTTTAGTGTCTAGTGGTGGTTTCCATTTGACCCACTAAAAGCTAAACTTTTAGCGGGGGATCTCAGGGCAGCCCAGATTTGTGTTTCCCTTATGATTATGGGGAAGACTGGAAAATGGAATTGGGGGACACCCTCCCCGTCAGGTAGGGGGGATATGGGGCACCAAAAGGACACCCACCCACTTCTCCCTATTTTCACACATCTCCACGTGGGTCGAGCAGTATTCCGTTTGGCCCCGGCCATGACCATGGGTAACTCTCTTTTCCCATATGGTATACTCTTTGTCGTGGTTGTCCCAAAGGGCCATCCCGGACCTTGTGATCAACCCCCAGCCCCAAAAAGTAAAACCACCTTTTGTTGGGTCCATTTCTCCCCAAGAGTCATGTCGCGCTCGTAGGGGGTGTCCCGTTTTCGTGTCCCTATTTTGATCAACCTCCCCCCAAAAAAACCAGCTGGAGTCTCCATGACCCTTAAGAAATGGGGAGGGCTCACTTCCTGAGTTCATGAACTTTAAACTTTTTGGGAAGACCCTTTTAGTGGTAAATACACAGTCTGAACATTTTTTGGGCCATCCACTCAGCAATTGAGAGGCTCATGGAGACTCCAGGGACGAATTGTTTTTCAACTTAGGTGAAGAGCTTCGGCGTGCTCGGCTCGCTGTTGCCGCTCTGCTTGCCCCGCTGAGTTGCGCGAGCTGGGCCGATAGGCCGATAGGGATCTTCCCGCTCCGAATCGTGGGCCGACGCGCCCGAACCGGTTTGGGGCCGAAGCCGGGCTTTGAGCACCTAGGCCCGGGTGTGAAGGGCCGGTTCCTTCCCTTTCAAATGCGGAAGACATGGGGGAAGTGCCTTTCCTGTTCCCCAGATGTTGGTTCTGTCAAAGCTTCCACTATCATGATTCCAAAAAATGTTTGTCGTAGCATTAGGAATTCGGGTTGGTGAACCGAAGAGAAAACCGAGAGGCCCTTGTTTTGAACGGACCGGTTCCAAAATCCGCACCCTGCGGATGCCGTGTGAGCACCTTCGTTGCAGACTTAACACCTGGCTCTGAGTGCACACGCGAGGACAGCGATTTTGGCTTTAAAAAGATGGCGGCAGGGACGTGCAACATATAGGTGTGTGTTTGTTAAGGGGGACCACCAACAGGGTGACCCAAATATGGTAAGGAAAGCATCAACTGGAACTCGGCATTCCCTTTTTGAAGTTGCATCCTGCGGTGTCTACGGGTTCTCAAGCGCCTCGGAGCCGCCCCGGTCCGAAATACAGCATCTCTATTTCCTGAGCAGCGCAAGCAAAACGGATTGATTCTCATCGGCCAGTTAGATTCTACGTGTCTGGATTCCTGGATGGGGGTTGTACTGACGACTGCAACCATCTCAAGAGCCAATGCGCTCCAGGTTCACACCTGTCCGGGGCTTCCCAACAGAATTTCGCCAAGGAAGTACAAGGCATGATAAACTAAAACCCCGATGTCAGGAGTGCACTCAGGCAACTAGGCAACTAGTGGATGGGGGGATCCATTGAGGTCCGAGGCCCTAGAACCCTCAGAGCCATGTGAAACTCAGCATGTCGGACCCCGTGGCAAGGGTGTCTTTCCGGTTTTCATACCAAAATCCGAATGTGGGTAACGTAATAAGCGGCAGAGTTGCACATGCTACAACGAAACATATCCCACCGACCGGACTTTAATTTAGTTTTTGGGAAGACCATTGTGGTGGTAGACACAAAGTTTGGCATTTTCTTTGGCCATCGCAATCAAAGAGGTACCCCGAACAAAACACACAAAGACACGCGATAACAACAAATACTCCCCGAAAGAATAAGATACCCGCACAAAACACAACAAAGAAGCATACTCCCCCCAGAAAAAAGGAAAATACCCCGGGCAAAGACCAACAAACAAACAAAAATGGACAAATACTCCCAAACAATCAGATGCCCCCCCCAAAAAAGCAACAACACAACGAAATCAATAAAAAACCAAAGGCCTCAAGATTGAGGCGCCCACCTGCGAGAGAAGACCTCAGAGCAGTTGGCGCTCATCGACCATGAGGCGCGAAGTCGGGGAGTCGGGGGGGGCCAGGAACTCGCCGAACAGAAATGGAGGGCTCGTCAGATGCATACCTGGAGTCTCTCGCAGTCTCCAGCGGATTCTTTGGCGGTTCGGGAACTGAACTAGCTCCCCCAGCAGGGCTCCTTAGAAGATACATTTTGCCCATCCATTTGAAAAACATGTTGCCTTTTTCAACACCAAAATAAAGTTGGAAACCACCATTTACAAGTTGCAATGTTCAGGTGTATAATGTGAGGATCCCTGTCCAGTGACTTTGGAACTCCAGTGACTTTGGTCAACTTCAGCCAGCGGTTTACATGGCTGGTCTCCGGTGTAGCCGCTACCCAAATTAAGCCAACACCCCAAAGGAAAACCACATCGAGAAATACCCGGAGTCTCCTTCCGACCCTTAAACAAATGGTTGGTCATTGCCCAAAATATATAACGGGGTCATTGACCCATTTTTCAAGGGTCATGGAGACTCCAGGCAGATGTAAAGGCAGAAAGGCAGATGCACATTCTTCCCTGTTTGGCTTCCCTTGTTGTGGCGATGGCAAAAACAAGGGATAGTTTTTTTTGTGGGGAGATCTTTGTTGTGGCGATGGCAAAAACAAGGGAGAGTGGTTTGTGTTTGTTGTGTTTTGCGAGGGAGGGGGGGTGGGGTTGTTTGTTGTTGTTTTTTTGAGAGGGGGCTGTTTGTTGGAACCGTTTTGTTTTTTTTTTTCTAGCCCCGGCTCGGGACTTAGCCCCGGCCAGGGGACTGGTTGGTTGGTTGGCTGGTGGGTGGGTGGGTGGGTGGGTGGGTGGGTTGGTTTGGTTGGTTGTCTGCGTTGGTTGGTTGGTTGGTTGGTTGGTTGGTTGGTTGGTTGGTTGGTTGGTTGGTTGGTTGGTTGGTTGGTTGGTTGGTTGGTTGGTTGGTTGGTTGCTTGGTCAGCTGGGCGGCCGCATCCCCACCATCACCGGCCTCGCTCGGACTAGGGCTGCCACTTGGCTTTGATTTGTCGGCAGTTCAGAGTTGCTCCGGGCCGTTTTCGGGCGAGGGCCGGGCTTCGGGCTTGCTGAGGTCAATATACTACTAATGAGGGCGGGTCTTGGGTATGTTTGGGGTTCATTTAGGCTTTGTAAAGGGTTGATATCCAGGATTATTTTGCCAGGTTTTAAGGTTGATTTTGAGTCGGTTTGGGTTGGCTTGGAGCTGATTTGCCCGAGGTGTGCGGCCCGGTTTTTGCACTAGCCTTTGGGCTGCTTCAGGGCGTGGTTATGGAATTTCCGGGCTGCTTTGGGATTGGTTGTGGGGCGTTGCCCCAAGCCACCCAAACCAGCCTAAACTTGCGCAACCACGTCCCTAAAGCAGCCCAAAAGCTGCTGCAAAAACCGGGCCGCACACCTCGTGCGAACCAGCTCCAAGCCAACCCAAACCGACTCAAAATCAACCTTAAAACCTCGCAACAGCATCCTGGATATCAGCCCTTTAATTACAAAGCCTAAATGACCCTCATTAGTAGTATATTGACCTCAGCAAGCCCGACACTCGCCCGAAACCGGCCCGGAGCAAAATCTGAATTGCCACCAAATCAAAGCCAATTGGCAGCCCTAGTCCGAGCGAAGCGAGGCCGGTGATGCTGGGGATGCTGGGGATGCGGCCCACCAACCCAGGAGCCCAGGCGATTTGTTTCTCTCCCATATCGCAGGCGAGGTGCCCCGCCCTTTCTCACCCACTTTTTTGGGGGAGGCTCGGTTCCCCCAAAACGCCTGGAAGCACCGGGTAGTATACAGGTGGATCCACTGGGTAGCTGCTAGAATCTTAAGTGGCAGCACCAGCAGCGGGGCATTGGTGGATCGAAATATCTTTGGGCGAGCAGCCAAGGCTAGGTCCCCCAGCAGTGCCCTTTTACAACTTTTTTGGGGGAGGGTTCCCCCAGTAAAATAGACTACAGAAGAAAGTTGGTGCCCTTATTCTAGCCTCTACTGGAGGACCTAGAAGGGCTTCCAATACTGTGGATAGACAAAATCCACTTCGCAAGGGTTGGGATGGATGACGCTCGATTTGAATACTGGGATAAACCACCTGGTGTACCCACTGGACTTCGTCCATCCACAGTGGGTCTTGGTTCATGTTGTCCTCGTCCGACCAAATGTCCACCCTTGCGAGGTATTCTATTTGGTGCAGCCCTGATTTGAGGAAGGATGTATTTGGCCACCCCCAACTCCCTAAAGGTCGCGCACTCAGTGCTTAGACACCCGGATTCGTGCGTTCGAAGGGGTCTAACAAACCCATCTTTTTTTTGGGGAAAGAACCAAAACTCGGGGGGGTGGAGGGTTGGGGTTTGCACATTTAAGCAACTAGACCCGCCCTGGGGCAAACCAGGATTTGTTCAAACGGGGATTCCGAGGCGTTTCCCTTTGTGGAACCTCCAAAAATGGCAATTTCCTTGAAGCCCAAGAAGTAGCTCAGCTTCTGATTTGGTTGGAACTCCTGCGACTTTGGTCTGCGGTTTCCATGGCGCCAGGTGTTTTGCGCCCCTTTCGGGCCCATGGGCCTGAGGCCTGAGCTCGAGATCGGAGTCAGGTGGAGCAGACGCGGCGGCATTTCGAGCCTCTCACGCAGACCTCGACGCCGGTGTCCGCGCAGGACGGAATGCGAGTCGGATGGGGTGAGTCGGTCCGCCGGCATTCAACGGGGTTCCTTGAAGGATACATGTCTTGGTGCGGCGCCCTAGGATTTTTCTGAGCTGCTTTTAGTGGCTTCGGTTCGTTTCGTGGGGGGTCTGCCCATTTTATCCACGAAAAGTGGTCGACTTTTCGCGCGGATCTGAAAACGCACAGCCCAGATTTGCAAAACGGCTGCTAGTTGGACGACTTTCTTCGGTCTTGAACCTTTTGTGCTCGGAACCTGTGTCTGTTTTCCCACTCCCAGCAAGGGGAGCCTTCAGAGAGCACCGAGTCGCCGTGGCAACACACTAAACAAAATCAGGTACCCGTGTTTGGTGTTGGCCTGGGCCCATTTTTTCAGTGGCCCAAAATGGGCCGTTGGCAGATTTTGGCCAATGTTCAAACCACTTCTCAGATATGCCTTAATTGGTGGTTGGTGGTTTGGAGCCCGGTGGCGGGGATCTGAACCCTACCTATTGAACTACGTGGGTAAGGCGCCTGACGTCCAAATCCCCAAACCAAACCAAACCAAACCTCTCAAATCTGGAGGACCTAGTAGGGGTACGGCTATTCTGTATACCTTTTGGCCAAATCAAAAGCCTTTGCCAGTTCAAAGGCCTGCGTTACCTGGATGTGCATCCAAAAGTACATAGCTAGACCATGGTTCCGAGTGGGACCATTTTTTCACCCCGGACTGTGAAACAACAAAATCCATTTCGCACCACCTAAGAACCCCTGGTTTCCGATGATTCCCCTGTAAATACTAACAATGGTTTTGGTTTTGTTTCAAAGTGGTGCGAACGGATTTCGTCCAAACAGGCAAACTCAGTAGCAGTCATCGCGACAACTCCCATTTGGAAGACTGGTCCTGGACGTTGCTATCTTGGGCAAATGATGTTGGCCCCATATTAATCAACTGCAGTTGTTTAAGAGGTGTCCCCAGGTGAAATGTGGGAGATCAGACCAGTTTTAGAGGGAACCCCCTATTAAACTGGGGTTGATTAATATGGGGTGAAAACGGGCTGGGCATGTTTTCTATGTTTTGCAGACATCCTATGAAACACGAAGTAATGATGCCCTAAGCAAGACTCCAGTCTGATCTGGTCCTAGATATTACGAAATACACAATGGATATAAATATATATATATATATACACATACACATATCATACTTTTATTGCATACCACATTCTCTTTGTGGATCATGGAGGGGGTGACCATATATATATATATATATATGGGTGCTTGTGTTTTGGAGGGTACCCTTCTTTGAGCTGGTTTTTCCGGGGACGCCAACAGGCACCCCACATTTTGTTGGCCCCCCCTCAGGAGCCGACCGCAAGCTCGTCGAGGCTGGGCTTCCGGGCGCGGGGGTGAGGGGTGAGGGGCGAGGGCGTCTCTCTTAGTTGGTCTTACCATCTGCCAGTTGCTGAAGTTGTTTTTTTCTTATTAAGTATTTTCTCTTGTTTTTTTTCTTTTCTGTTTAAGTATTTTTCCCTTTTGTTTGGTTTTAAAGGGAAGTGATATCACTACTGGAAGTATGTTTTTTTATTCTTTCCAGGGGTCTGATCCAAATGGAAGCAATAGACCCTGGTGTGGTTGGTTGGTTTCCCACCCTTCTACACGGCCGTGCAGCCTGGCCTTTCAGTTCATGTGGGTTCGTAAGGGTCAACTGGTTCTAAAGGTAAAGCCTGTTTTATTGACGGCGCAGCATGTTTTCCTTTACGACTGCATCGGATTCGAACCGGCTTCGGCTTCGAATCCGATCGAGTTTCTGTGGGAAGATTTGGCTCATGGGTGTGACGTTCGCGAATCCTTTGCAACTAACTCCCCCCAGAGCTTCCAGGTACCGTCGATAAAACCAGGGTTGCTTACCTCAAAGTTAACCACATGGGTGTGGCTCAAAATTAAGCGGGGGGGGGGGGGGCAAACCGCAGGTTTTGGTCCATGTTTCCACTTACCGATCGGGCACCCCATTTTGGAGTTCCGTGTTTTTGAGAAAGCCACAGCCCCTTGAAGTGTCCCCTCAGCGAAACACCCAGCGGGTAATCCCGCGACCCGCCAAGCGCGGTGCCTTTGGGCCACTGAAGCGTTTCAGTCGGCACCGGGTGGTGGGATCGATCAAGGGGTTTCTCCAACCACTGTGATACGTTTGTTGGAATCCCCCCTTTCTATGAGCAAAATGGTCTTTGGGGCTGGCCCTTTCTGTTGTATCACAGAAGTGGTCATTCCCCACAGCCCTGGGCACCGCCCCTTTTCCAAGGTCGGGGGTCGAACTCAGACCTTCCCCAAAAGGCTGGGTTTTTGTTGGGCTGGCACTTGAGCGATAGGCAAAGCACACAATTTTTCTACCTGCTTCCAGGCAAGCCACAAAAACCATCATGTAAAACCAATGTACAAATACTCCCCGGTTACCTACGCTGTTGCACTGGAAGCACTGGGCGAAAAGAAGGTTGCAAAAGCTGGGCTGCCAAGTGTCCCTCGCTTTTGAAGGCTCCTTCTCTGGCTCCAGCGGCTTGCGGGTTGCGCTACCGTCAGTCAGTCAACTCGAGTCCAGTCGAGTCGAGCCATGCCCTCGGTGTACTTGGAGTGTGTGGACGGCATCAGCAGCAAGTTTTGGCAGTGCGCCTTCGCCGGGAAGACTTCTCCGGAGGAGTTCGGAGCGTTCGGGTGACAGGTCCCGTAAAAGTTCTTCGGGTGGTCCAAGGAGGGGGTGCCCTAAGGCTCCCTCAGAAACCCTAAGGAATCCTAAGGCACCCTAAGGAGGCCTCAAAAAACACTCACACTGTGTATGGTTGCAAGCAATGGTCTTTTCTTTTGTTTTCGCACCACGAAATGAATCCATGGTTGAAACCATCACGTTTGTTGGTGGTTACGTTGGGGAATCGATTCATTCCAGGGGTTTCTTAGGTGCAGGATTTCGTCCATCCACTGTAATTATGTATGTGTTGTCCCTTGCCTTTTCGGCTTTTTTGGCGAGTCATGGAACTCAGGTGGCCATGGGTCAAAATCCATTCCCCCCAGTGAACATCAACCAATCCAACCACTACAACAGGGCTCCTTAAAAGATACATTTTGCCCAGTTAAAACATGGCCTTTTCCACCAAAATAAAGAGACACCACCATTTACAAGGCAATGTTCAGGTGTATAATGTAAGGATCCCTGTACAATAGGTTCTAAAATGGGTGGTGAATTCACCTACCAACCAAAATGGGATCCCATGGGTTTCGACCCACGGCCAGGTGAGGACCGCTCTCCGCTTGGTTTGGGACCGGTGGTTTGGGGACCACGGAAGCTCCACCAATCCTAACCAAGGAAGGGCATCCCTCGTGCGCGTTCTTGTTGAAGGATAATATTTTGGTAGAATTTGGCTTTTCATGTTAAACACCTCCTTTTTGGAGTGCAGGGTTAACGCCATACTTGGGTGTTCGGCCAACTTAGTCAGTTGTTGGAAACCTAGGTTCTCAGCCACTTGCCACTTACAAGTCCCCCGGGTTAACCTTGTTCTCAGGGGATATGCATGACCCAAGTGACCACGTACCCCGGCGCAGACCTGAAGATCCAAGTACCCCGAAGAAAGCGGGCATGTGTTGGGTGTTGGCAACCTGAGTTCCTGGAGTCTCCTTCTTCTGACCCAAATCAAAAAGGGTCAATGACCCGGCCCATTATTTTGGGAAATGACCAACCATTTTTGAAGGGTCAGAAGGAGACTCCAGGTCTAATATCTCATTTCTCTGTTTTGAGATTTCCGTGGATTAGATTTGGTTCCAACCCGACAGCTGACGCTTGCCCAGGGCCCGGTTCCAACCCCTCAGTTCGCTTCTGGTTCCGAACCACAAACCGGGGGGCCCGGGGGGGGGCGGGATGACCTGGCAGCGCCGCAGCGCGTTCTTTTGAAGCATGGCTTGGTCGCCTGCAGCAAGATAATTTTGATTTGTTTGTTGGGTATGTTTTTTTTTGCTTCGAAACGAGGGATCGTTTTCGGTTGGCTTGTTGTTTCATATTTGTCTTTTGCCCAATCTTGCGAAGCCACCAAACATGGAGTAGCCTAAAGAAGCCCTGCGTGTTTCTTCGTGACGACCAGCTCACGAACCGCCAATGATGTCAAAAGCAGGAGGAAGCATCAGAACACGCACCTGGACCTCAACAATATTATTGTGTCTTGTTTAGGGAATCGGAGCCCCCCCTTTCTTCCAAGTGGCTTCATTGTTGTCCTTTTGGTTTCCCTAACTCCAAAAAAGACAGTCCAGGGCTGAGGTCTTTTCTATGTTTTGTTTAAAAAGCATTTCCGGTGCCTCCACTTCCTGTAGCAAGGTCGAACAAATAGGTCAATGACCCCTTAATTTTGGGTAATGACCCCATTTTTTAAGGGTCATGGAGACTCCAGGTATATACAGAAAAAAAAAGGTACCAACTTATTCTAACCCCCTCTACTTGAGGACCTAGGTAGGTCTCCTTCAGAAAGACAAGCCATCCCGTCGTCATATGGCCATGTCACCGGGGCTCGCGCAGCGGTTCGCCGAGGTTCCATAAAGGGCTGCGATGTGACTAGCACTTATGGCAAGATTGGAGGTGCTTGATTCGAATCTGAAAGATTCGGTCGGCAAATGTGGGCGTTTCTTTTCAGAACACCCTCTTTTCTTGAGTTTAGAGGGAAACGAAAAGGGGAACAAAAACAGGAGGAACCCTTTTTTGGTTTTACAGGGAAACGAAAAAGCAAAGAACAGGAGGAACTCCCTTTTGGTTTCAAAGGGAAACGAAAAGGGAAAAGACATGAGGAACCCGGATTTTGGTTTTAAAGGGAACCGAAAGGAAAAGGAGGAACTCGTTTTTTGGTTTTTTGGTTTTTTGGTTTTAAAGGGAAACAAAAAATCAAAAAAACAGGAGGAACTCCCTTTTGGTTTTTAGAGGGAAACGAAAAGGGAAAAAAACACAGGAGAAATCCCTTTTTTGGTTTTAAAGGGAAACAATAAAGCATTAAACAAAAAGGAGGAACTCCCTTTTGGTGTCAAAGGGAAACGAAAAGGGAAAAGACAGGAGGAACCTTTTTTTGGTTTTAAAGGGAAACAAAAGGGGAAACACAGCAGGAGGAACTCGTTTTTTGGTTTTAAAGGGAAATGAAAGGGAAACAAATAGGAGGAACTCGTTTTTTGGTTTTAAAGGGAAACGAAAAGGCAAACAACATTGGGAACTGCCTTTTGGTTTTAAAGGGAAACGAAAAAAACAAGGAGGAACCCTTTTTGGTTTTAAAGGGAAACGAGAAAGCAATCAAAAAAAGGAGGACCTCCCTTTTGGTGTTAAAGGGAAACGAAAAGGGAAAAGACAGGAGGAACCCTTTTTTGGTTTTAAAGGGAAACAAAAGGGGAAACACAGCAGGAGGAACTCGTTTTTTGGTTTTAAAGGGAAATGAAAGGGAAACAAATAGGAGGAACTCGTTTTTTGGTTTTAAAGGGAAACGAAAAGGCAAACAACATTGGGAACTGCCTTTTGGTTTTAAAGGGAAACGAAAAAAACAAGGAGGAACCAATTTTGGTTTTAAAGGAAAGCGAAAAAGCAAAAAACAGGAGGAACTCCCTTTTGGTTTTAAAGGGAAACGAAAAGGGACAAGACAGGAGGAACCCGGGTTTTGGTTTTAAAGGGAACCGAAAGGAAAAAAAAGAGGAACTTCTTTTTGGGTTTTAAAGGGCAGCAAAAATTCAATAAACAGGAGGAACTCCCTTTTGGTTTTTAGAGGGAAACGAAAAGGGAAAAAAACACAGGAGAAATCCCTTTTTTGGTTTTAAAGGGAAACAATAAAGCATTAAACAAAAAGGAGGAACTCCCTTTTGGTGTCAAAGGGAAACGAAAAGGGAAAAGACAGGAGGAACCCTTTTTTGGTTTTAAAGGGAAACAAAAGGGGAAACACAGCAGGAGGAACTCGTTTTTTGGTTTTAAAGGGAAACGAAAAGGCAAAAGCATGAGGAAACCCTTCTAGTTTCAAAGGGAAACGAACGACCTCTTTTGGATTTAAAGGGAACCCCAAAAGGACAACCCTTCTTGGGAATCCTTTTGCTGGTTGGTGGTAAAGGCAAAAGCGAAAACACACTTTTTTAAGGGACTCCTAAGAACAGACACACCCACGAGTGAGCTGGGCGAGCCCTGAAATAGAACATTTAAATTGGGTGGGAACTGGCATCCCAAAAGAGGGGTATTCGGACCCTCCAAATTGGGATATTGCACCAAGCTTATGGGGCGAATTCCGAGGTAGGTATTCCGTTTTAGGGCACCAAAGATGACGTCGATTCCAGATTTCCGGTCGGACATTTGGCACTGGTCAGTTCGGCAGTTCCGGAACTTGTTAGAGCAGGATCCGCATGTCTCTTCCGGGATATGGTTTTGAATCCTGGTTCTAGAGGGTAAATGTGAAGCCACCTGTTGACTGATAGATAGGTCAGTGCCCGAGGTTAAAGGGGATGCCTCCCCTTTTTGGCAAGACAAATACACTCGTGTATGAAAGGCGGGGTTTATTCTTGTCAACATTGCGCATGGCTAGACTCCCCTTTTTCAGTCGGTGTTGCACGCGAAACCACAGGCCACCAACTATTTGAAACAGGGCACTTCATAATAGGACACACCCATGCAGTTGTTGCAAGTGGAAGCAAGCTCGATTGACCCAAATCAGCATTTCCTTTCCACACATCATCGGTTGTTCCTTTCCTCACATATTTGCTTGTAGGATTGGTTTCCTGCTTGTTACCACTTGGCGTCATTCGTTCCATGTGTAGCACGGGAGTTCCCTTCATTCTCCTTTTCTCACTTGAAGTTTTTGGGGTTGGACCCTTTTAGTGGCAAAAAACAAGCTATAGGACTTTTTTTCGGGCAATCCACTCAGAGTGAGCTTTTTGCCAATTGTTGAGCGCATGATGCTTAAAGAGGACATATAAGGAACCCTGGAGCTCAGAAGAGTCACACTCCCACCATTCCACATCACTCGAGTTCCACCTCACTCGGTTCCTTTTGTGGTGTTACTGTTTTTGGGGGGGGACACCGAAAGGACGCGTGGCTTTTCAACCATCGTTCTTTTCAAAAACCAGCTGTTTCCCCAGGGTTTTGGGTGGCTTTGTAGAAAGAAGGATGACTGGAAAGAATGGGAAAGGTACCCCTAGAACAACCCTACTAACTACCTGGAGTCTCCTTCTGACCCGAAATGTATTTTTTGGTCAATGAGCAACCATGATTTTGGGGGTAATGACCAACCATTTTTGATTCGGGTCAGATTCGGAGACTCCAGGTAGCTCGATTTAACAAAAAGCCGAGCTGCCCGCTTTCTGGGTTTCGCTCCCGACTAGCTGTAACCTGCAAGGTCCTGGACCCCTACTTAGATGGGACGAATCGCTAAGTGGCTAGCTTTGCCCTAGTTGTAACCCACCAAAGCCATGGTTGTAAGTTCCCGAAAACCATTGTTACTATCCGTTTAGCTAAGTCCCAGACCACCTAAGTAAGGACTCCCGTCGTTGACCCACAACAAATGGGGTAAAGCAGAAAAACACGGGCCCCTTCGGAACTTCGGGGGGAGGGGTCCAGGATTTGTGCGTGCTTGTCGGCGCAAAATATATATATATATATCTCTTGGGCCGGGAAAAACTGACGTGTCCAAAGATCCGTAAAGCGTGGTGTTTTTCCGACTCTCCGTGATTTCAAGACTCACCAGTCGGCCTTGGTCACAGACACCCCCCATGACCTGCTGTTCTCAGCGAGGAATTTGAAATGACCTCCCATCTGCTCTCTACAAGGATCCATATGGGTGTGGCTCAAAATGAAAGACCCAGGGTTACGCAGGTGTTAGTTGTTGCTTCCGTTTGCAGAGGCACCATTTTGGTACAAATTTGTTTGAGCCACATATTGTTGAGAACACTCAAGTGAGCCAATCTGCCTGGTGGAGGCAGATCAATCTCGTGTTGCGCCATTTTTCCGCCCTGAAGAAATGGACGCTCACCCCGGTGAGCGGAGACTCCAGTGGGCTTCCATTTGCGAAAGAATACCCCTTACACCCGATACCTTCATTTCTTAAGGTATTATAGTTAGAAGTAGGCATGCGCAACTTTGGGAGGTCCAAGCAGTCCATATTCAGGCAATGAACAATATAGAAACCAAATTAGTTCCGCGAAAAGAAGTATATCCAGTTATGTCTACCTATTGTTTTCGGTGCAAGCGTTTAACATCATCATCATTCAATTATCAGTTATCAATATTTATATGTAAGTATCAAAAAACAAGAATATATATTACACAAATATAAATGATGTGCACTTATTTTGCGAGCATGAGCTTGATAAATATTATTTCTTGAGTATAAAATAGGTTAAAATGTAACTATACCATTTACATACTTTTATGTTATAATTATATTTCAATGTTTAATTGTACTTCTTGCAACAAAGTATTTAAATCAATATAAACTATATATATATATATTAATAAGATATATGGAACTTAACAGTTTACCAGTAGAAATTAGATTGAATATTATGTCATACAACTGTTATGATATATGTTCTTACAGGTATAATGATATCATTAAACACCCTTTTCCAACTTGGGAAAAGGTAAAAATAAATCCATTTTGGATAATGTCTTTGACTGAATCTTTAGATGGTAAAAAAATCTGAATATGAAACATACTCAGAATTAAAACATTTATGTTTATTCTTACATATTTCATATTGAATATAAGTTTAAACATCTATGGTTTATTAATAATACTGATGATATGAACGTTAATGATAGAAAAATGCTGACAAGTGACTATTATGACGCTATGAGAGCACTCTTATCAATGGTGCCATTTAGAACAACAGCAGAATTGCATATCCGGTTTTGTCATATATTTAGCAGGCTGACGCCTGATGCCGCCGACCCCCGTAACAGCATCACACACGTTGGAGAAACTCTGGCCCTTCTCCGTCTCTCAGCAGGATCGGCGCCAAGGTCTCGCATGCTGGGGATGCGGGGGCTGGCTGCCTTTTTGGTCTTCCATCGTTGTAGAAAAAGGCAGCTTTTGCATCCCCAGCTTCACCAGCATCATCCTGCAGGTGCCCGGGGTGATGCTTTGCATGCTGGGGATGCAGGAGCTGCCTTTTTGGTCTTCGAATGTTGGGAAAAGAGGCAGCTTTTGCATCCCCCGCTTCACCAGCATCATCCTGCAGGTGCCCGGCGTGATGCTTTGCTTGCTGGGGATGCAGGAACTGCCTTTTTGGTCTTCGAATGTCGGAAAAAAAGGCAGCTTTTGCATCCCCCGCTTCACCGGCATCATCCTGCAGGTGTCTGGGGTGATGCCTGGCATGCTGGGGATGCGGAAGCTGCTTTTTGGTCTGGGACGGAGAAGGGCCGGATTTTTCTCCAACGTCTGGCTTCATGCGGGGATGATGAGGCTGATGATGATGCTGGATGACGAGGCCGATGATGGCGCCGCTGATGATAATGATGATGAGGAGGATGACGATGATGCTGCTCAACCTGATGAATCATCATCATCGTCATCACCCACCATGTCGTCATCATCATCCATCATCATCCTCAGCCTCAGTAGCATCATCATCCTCATCATCCTCCTGATCATCATCATCATCCTCGTCACCATCATCATCATCATCATCGTCATCATGAGCAGCGGCGTCATCATCATCATCGGCATCACCATCATCAGCATCATCATCAAAATCATCATCAGATCATCTTCATCATCCTCAGCAGCATCATCAGCATCATCATCGTCATCGTCATCTTCCCGTAGTCTTCCGTCATCTTCGTGTATTCTTCCGTCATCTCCCCGTAGTCTTCCGTCATCTTCCCGTAGTCTTCCGTCATCTTCCCATCAGCTTCCCGTAGTCTTCCGTCAGCTTCCCATAGTCTTCCGTCCTCTTCCCGTAGTCTTCCCGCAGTCTTCCGTCATCTTCCCTTAGTCTTCCGTCATCTTCCCATCATCTCCCGTAGTCTTTCCGTCATTTTCCCGTAGTCTTCTGGCATCTTCCCGTAGTCTTCCGTCATCTTCCCGTAGTCTTCCGTCATCTTCCCGCAGTCCCGTAGTCTTCCGTCATCTTCCAGCTTCCCGTCATCTTCCCGTAGTCTTCCGTCATCTTCCGGTAGTCTTCCGTCATCTTCCCGTAGTCTTCCGTCATCTTCCGGTAGTCTTCCGTCATCTTCCCGTGGTCTTCCGTCATCTTCCCGCAGTCTTCCGTCAGCTTCCCGTCATCTTCCCGCAGTCTTCCGTCATCTTCCCGTGGTCTTCCGGCATCTTCCCGCAGTCTTCCGTCATCTTCCCGTCATCTTCCCGCAGTCTTCCGTCATCTTCCCGTAGTCTTCCGTCATCTTCCTAGTCTTTCATCATCATCATCCATCCTCACGGTTAGAGGTTAAAGTTAGAGGTTAGGGTTAGAGGTTAGGGTTTAGAGGTTCGGGTTAGAGGTTAAGGTTAGAGGTTAGGGTTAAAGGTTAAGGTCAGAGGTTAAGGTTAAAGGTTAGGGTTAGAGGTTAGGGTTAGAGGCTAGGGTTAGAGGTTAGGGTTAGAGGTTAGGGTTAGAGTAGGGTCATCTTCCGGTAGTCTTCCGTCATCTTCCCGTCATCTTCCCGTAGTCTTCCGTCATCTTCCCGTAGTCTTCCGCCATCTTCCCGCAGTCTTCCGTTCTCTTCCCGTAGTCTTCCGTCATCTTCCCGTCAGCTTCCCGCAGTCTTCCGTCATCTTCCCGTAGTCTTCTGTCAGCTTCCCGTCATCTTCCCGTAGTCTTCCGTCATCTTCCTAGTCTTTCATCATCATCATCCATCCTCACGGTTAGAGGTTAAAGTTAGAGGTTAGGGTTAGAGGTTAGGGTTAGAGGTTAGGGTTAGAGGTTAGGGTTAGAGGTTAGGGTTAGAGGTTAGAGGTTAGGGTTAGAGGTTAGGGCTAGAGGTTAGGGTTAGAGGTTAGGGTTAGAGGTTAGGGTTAGAGGTTAGGGAGAGGGAAAGGGTTAGAGGTTAGGGTTGGAGGTTGGGGTTAGAGGTTAGGGTTAGAGGTTAGGGTTAGAGGTTAGGCGTGTCAAAAATCCGCTGCGGGACCCCCCCTCCCCCCCTCAGACTCCCCCTAACCACCACTTAGAACACGCCTCGCCCCTTTGCAGAGACTAACTTTGCTTTTGCAAAGGGGTCGGCGGATTAAGCACTGAAGTGTTCTACAAAAGCGAAGAATAAGTTAGTGATAATGAAAGTGTTGGTAGCAATTATTAATTTCCATACTATGATTATAACATTTATACCCTTATATGTTATAATTACAATTTAAGTAGAGCGTTTTATGCATTTGACCCTAAAATCTACAAGGAGCACCACGCGCATCTCGGAATATCCATATTTTGACAAAATACATAATTATTAAGTCTTCTCATGGATTATTAAAATTGTTGATTCTTATTGAATAATAATTATTTTAATGTTATATATATATATATCCCTTTTGAACAAAATGTTTTTGAAACATATTTCAGAACATATATATATTTTTTTAGGAATAAACATGTTTAGATGTATTGAACTTTTGGAATGTTATATATGTATATATTGTTTTGGTATGCTGCAATAAAACATATTTATCAACATATGTTTATACTGTTTCAAAATAATTGTGTAAATGCTTGTTTTCGGGTGCTTGTTTAAAAAGTCAAAAAAACACCTAGGGTGCACCCTGGACTTCTTGGACCTCCCAAATTTGCGCATGCCTACTTCTAACAAGTATGTCGACCCTCTACTAAAAAAGGAGGTATTTACCATGGAAATCCAGGTTTTTCAAAACAATACCCTTAACAAAAGTGGGTGTTTGGAGCAGGGGGTATGTTTTATTCGCCACTGTTGGTTTTTTACTCTTTCACGGGACTTTAAAACGCACATGGACAGTCCGCGCACTTTTTCCGGATCCCGATACGTGATGCGGGAGGTGCCCCCTCGAGCACGACGAAGAGCTTCCCCACGGCGGAGAAGGCGCAGGCCTTCTACGACAAGGAGGCAAACTCGAAGATGAACAAAGGCTGGGCCCCGTCGCCCACGAAAAAAATGATATATATATATATATAAAGAAAAGCACACACACACACGCACACACACAAAAAGCAAAGAAACAAAACAGGATCTTTGGACAAGGTAGACGTAAACCAAAGTGCTTAGGTGCGATTTGTTTTCTTTTCTTTTTTGTTTTTATAAGAGCGGCCGGCTGGGTGGCTCCCAGCCATCCGGTTCCTTCGCTTTTTAGATCCTTTTAGTGCGTAGTGGTACTCAAAGCTGAGGAAAGGCCCCAAAAAGAAAACTGGAGTCTCCAAATCTGACCCTTTCATAATGGGTCAATGACCAATTTTGGGAAATTCCCAAAAAGGTTTTAAGGGTCAGAAGGAGACTCCAGGTAGACATAAACCAAAGTGCTTAGGTGCAGTTGGCTTCCCGAAAAAGGGGGACCCGCTGTCCTTTTTGTGGTTAGTTTGGTTACACTGCGGAAAAGAGGGGTTTTATGCCGTCCGTTCGATATTTGTCCTTAAGAGGTCACCCAAAGGGGCACGGGCCGCTTGCCAGGCGTTTTGTGGATCGCAGAGCTATCGCTATAGTAGGCAACCCTTCGCTATTTTCCTTTTGGTTTCTATATCTGGTTACATATGCAGGCAAATGGATCTGACCCAGACACTCACCCTGCTAGGGAGGGTCCTTTTTTTTTTAGAGACAGCCCAGGGCCCTCAAACTGCCCCATTTTGAAGGCCCGGGCAGTCGTGAGCATTAGGGGAGGATGGCAATAGGGACCGATCCGTGGGTGGGGGTTGGGGATTGCAAATCCGCAACCTTACCAGAGTTTGAAACCCCTGCAAACGGCCGACTTCATATGGCAATGGGTCAAAATCCCGTACCCCCAGTGAACATCCCAATCCCCACTAAATAGACTAAAATGGGAGGTGCACCTACCCCCAAAATGGTATTGGTTTTGACCCACAGCCATATTTGTTGTGCTTTGTGCTCTTAGTTTTGACACAACCGCAAAAAGCTGGGCTAAGGTAATTTGAAGGCAGCACAGAGCTGCTCCGAAATGTGTCACTGTCGCAAGACCGCGATCTGAAACTTTTAGGTGACCTTCCCACTTGCTACTTAAGTGTTCGGCCAACTTAGTAAGTTGTTGGAAACCTAGGTTATAAGCCAGTCATAAGTCTCTCTAAGTGGGGTTAGCCTTGTTATTTGGGGGTTGTAACCCAAGTGGCTCACACCTACTAACCTGGCAAATCGAACATCCGAGTAGATCTCAGAAGCAACTTGCCTGGTCTCCCACCAACAGACCAAGAGAGCGTCCCGAGAGGAAGCGGATCTTTCATGTGGGAGGGAGGGTATCATTGTCAGCCTGAAGCAACTCCTTTGCTATTTGAGTCACAATCAAAACCCGGGTAAGTGAAGGTTAGTACGGAACAGTCCCAGCCATAAGTAGTTGCGGATATTCGCCTTCTTAATTCTTGAAGCATGGTTCTGGGTCGACCATTTTAATACCAGGTTTTGATTGTCACTCATTTGCACTGGGTGTCTCTTCGGTTTCCGCAGCATGAGTTCGGAGTCAGAGCTCGGATTTTTTTAGGTTTGGAGAATTGACATTTACTACTTTAAGGGTTTAGGCTAAACGGTTTAGGGTTCCGGAATATGGGCGACAAGATGTGGGGTTTCAATGCTCCAATTTGCAGGGACAGGTTTTGGGTGCTCAAATGGAGTTGGCGGAACTGGTGTCAAGTTTAATCAGTCGGACCCAGAAAAGGTGCTCGCCTTTTTTGGAGTTGGTATCCTTTCTCTTGTCTAGGAAAGCCAGAGTTGGACCCCGTCTGTTTTCGGGCGTTTGTGAGGCATTTTTGGGACATCAGAAGTCGAGAACAAAGCAGCGCCGCCACTTTGCGGTGGCTTCCAACGCCTCCGCAATTTCCACAGGCTACCAGATGAAGGGCAAGAAGGTCAAGGCGGCGCCGGCGAAGGCGAGCCACGATCAAAACCGATTCGGGTAGATGAAGGTTAGGGACACTCCCAACCCATAGCTGCGGAATCCCACCTTCAGACAATTCTTGAAGCATGGTTCTGGGTAGACCATTTCGATACCGGGTTTTGAGCAAGTCACTCAGGTGATGAAAGCGGCGATGAAGGTCGCGATGAAGGCCATGGCCAAAGCCAAGGCGATGAAGGTCATGAAGGTCGCAGTCAAGGCGAGGATGGCGCAACCCCCCCCCCCTTTTCTCAGCGCCCCCACAACTTGACCTTGTTGTCCTAGAGCTTCGCCATCACCAGCGCTGGTTGGCTGCAGGGGTTGCTAACCCAACCTCAGCGACTGGATTTTAGCCCACAGAAGGTTGTTTTATAGCTCCAATGCTTCCAAGACACTGTAAATACTGTTGTTTTGCCACGATCGAGGTCACCCCCCGTTCAGTGGCTAGCTGGTTGGAAGGGAGCTGTTAGCGAGCTGGGGGTATGCTAAGTTGCCTTTAACGAGGGAGCCAAGGCAGGAGTTCTGGAAGAACATGGTAGGTGGGTTAAAGGGAGGCTACCTGAATAAAAGACAAGCCCACATGTTCAAGGGCTCCCTACAAATATGTTCCCCCTTCAACCTCACCCCACCATGATCAAAGCTGAGGATCCCTTGTCGGACTGGAACCATTGGCTTTGCGCCGTTTAGATCTCTTGGAACGTGCATAGACTGCCCTTCGCACAGCTTGGGGGCAGATTGTTGCTTCCAGAATTGTCATGCCTATGAGAATGCCTTTCACAGCTCAGCCCCGTTCAGTGGGTTCAAGGGAAACAGCCGAATCCATGTTCTGGCTTTGACCCCCAGAAGTCAACATGACCGCATTCAAAAAGGGTTCTACCCAGACCTGAAGTCTTTGGGTTCCTGTTTTCCAGTGTTGGAGATGTCATGGAAAGAAGCAAGTACCAAGGAAAAGAGTGCTCCTCTTTCCCTGGCTGGCCCTGCGTTAGAGAAGGGGTTCTAGCTGGTATCAAGACGAAGTCTAAACCTTTACAACCATGTTAATGTGTTTTGCGCGCTGCTTTGTGGGTTGGGGGTAGCGTACCGCTCCACCCGAATTGGCCCTGAAATCCCTCCTTTTTGCTCCGGCGCAAACCTTCTTTTCTGGGAGAACAGGGTTTTAAAGCAGGTCCAACATCCCAACTGTCCAACAAGCCGTTAAGGCCTGGGTGCAGGATTGGATCTTTGGGACCATTTTAGGATAGAAATCGATGGGTTCCACTATCAAGATGTGTTCAACAATGGGAGGTGTTTCCTAAAAGGGGAAAACGCAACCTCTGGGTTTGATTACACAAAAACATATATATATATATATATATATGTATGTATATATATGTACCGACACCCTTGTATTGGCGTGAGACGAAGAGATGTGTCAGCAAGGGTTTTCCGCGTGATTCCCCATGTTCAGCCATCTTTGACATACCTGGCATGTCCCTCTTTGTTTGGCGTTGAAAAGAAGGGAGACGTTCCACCTGCATTCACAACGGCTAAGCGTTGTCGAACCTGTGTCTCGTGGTTCAGGCCGTTTCTACCACACAGCCGAGCATGTAAGGCTAAGTTGCCTCTTTGCGTTCCGACGTCGTTTCCACTTACGTATTTTGTCCGACTGGGTGTGTCTTCTTTTGAGGGGTCCCTTTTTTGGTTTCAAAGGGGAACCAAGAGGAACCTCTTTTTTTTTTGGGGGGGGGGGTCCCTAACAAAAAGACACATCCCAACGCTACATACTGCAACAAGGCAATGGAAGCATAGCGCCATTCGGATGCTTCCCTCACCCCCCCCCCAGACAAAGAATCGTCAACCTCCAAAAGGCTGGTTGGAGGTAGTGGTAGTATAGCGGTTTTACAAGCTGAGTGCCAGAATTCTGCTTTGGAATCTGTGGGTCTGCAGCGAACAAGTCTTCTATGCTTGGTTCTCTTGAATCACCATCCGCAAGTTTCCCTTTGAACCCAAAAAGCCTTGTCTTTAGTTTCTGTTTCCCGAGACCCTTCTTGGTGCACTTAAAGGGGCAGGGTGCTTAGTAAGTGGGTAATAACCACGGTTGTAACCCACTTACCGGGGTTATAAGTCTCCGTTCAGTGGGTTATAACCAGGCTTACTAGTCACTTACTAAGTACCCTGCCCCTCTAAGTCTATCAAGTTGTTTTTTTGCCAGGCGATGAAAGGCCAAGGGCCGGGCCGGGACGGGACGGGTCGGCGGTGCTTCAGTTCGTGGGCGAAAGCTCAGAATTCCCCCGAGTGGCTTTGGGATCGGCCTGGGGCTTTCAATTTCTGGTTCCTTTTTGAGGGATGGCGGTGGCTCAAAAAACCGGAATTCCAAAATGGGTTGCCCGATCGGTAACTGGAAACATAGACCAGAACCTGCGGTTTGCCCCTCCGGTTTCAGTTTGAGCCACACCCAAATGGCTGTGGGTCATTTTAGAACCTATTTTAGTGGTTGCAGTGGGCATGTTCACTCGGGGTAGGAATTGGATTTTGACCCATGGCCAAATGGGAAATCACGCCCTTTCACCTCCAAACCACAGGGAAGCCCAAGGCCGATTACTTGCTGGTAGGGACGAGGGCCATCAATCTCGAGAGATTCGAGGCTGTAAGTTTCCGCCACCTCAAAGAGAAACCCTTATTTTTACAAGTTCCCCATTTGGAGAGGAGCCCGTAAAAAGGCATGTTTAGTAGTCTACGGTATGTCTACAGCGCATTTTGTCTTTGGCTCATCTCGCAAGGAAACCACGAAGTTGAGCTACTTTGTTTTTTTGCATTTTCTGAGCTATCGGCTATTTCAAGGGTCTCCCAAAAGGCCGTCCGCCGATTTTTTTTCTTCCTCCCGCAATTCCTCCCGCAATGGAAGCGACAAACCCCGAGAAAGTTTCAATCAATCCCCCAAGCCTCGGCGGTGCCGTCTGGTTCCGGGTTTTAGGCTTTTAAGTGGTTTAGTGTGGTCCATCTTTCCCGCAAAAGCTTTAAGCCTTTTAGCAGCCCATTTGAACAGGGGTTGATGTAGCAGCCCAATCTTGGTTTAGTGTGGTCCATTTGACCCACTAAAAGTATCCGATGTGTTTTGTTTTTCAATCCGAGGATGCCAGTGCTAGGCGCGCGCAAGCGCCACGATGGCAGGCAACCCTTGGGTATCGCTACTAGGTTTTACATCATGGTTGGACAACCCTGGTTACCTACTGTAGTGGCAAGCACCTAAAAGCACTGGGAATGACCATCAACGACTCTATTGACTTTTCAGGGTAGTCGAGTTTCCCGGATCAATGTCCCAGGATTTGTAGGCAACCAAGGCAACCCGTTTCAGGGTGTGCTGTCAACCCTGTAAAAAGGGGCGTCTAAAATATGAAAAAAAAAACGGTTCTCAAAGAACAAAAAGCTACAAACAGCGACAAAGGTTGGAGCTTTGGGGGCAAGGCAAGCCCGAAAAGGAAAAAGAAGAGGATGATTGGAGGGCTGGGCAAGCCTCACGACGTGAGTGCTAGGAGCCACGAGAAATCGCCATGGTTTACTCCACTCAACATAGGAAGCATAAGGGCCCTGAGTGATGTCCTTTGCAAGTGAGTGTGTCTTTTTGTTGGGACCCCCCCCCCCCCCCCCGTTTTGGTGGATTTTGAAGGGAAACCAAAAGGCAAAAAGGAAACGGTTGCCATTGTGGGGGGTCCGATATGACACATACCCAAATCCTTCCCAGTGGATCCCAGGCAAGCCACTATAGTAGGTAGCCAGATATTGTCCTTCTGGTGTTTATATCGGGTGGCAAGCCCGGCTTATCCTGGGCCCCTTGAAGGGTTCCATGCTGGCCCGTCCCCTGCCTTTCGCTTCCCCCCCCCCAAAAGCTCCCCTTCAAAGTCCATGCCCCTGGCTTTCGCCCGGGGCGTCTCCGCCCCTCCCCAACAGCTCCCCGGAATCTGTCCTGTCCCATGCCCAGCCCCGCCCAGCCCCGCCCATGCCCCCCGCCTCGCCTCGCCCAGGCAAGGGCCCGCTGGCGGGCAAGGTGCTTTGCTTCACCGGGGCCCTGAGCGTCACCCGCAGCTCCGCCAAGAAGTTCGCCGTAGCCGCCGGGGCCACCGTCACCGGCAGCGTCTCCCACAACACCGCCCCTTCGGCCGAGAGGTCCCCAAGAGCCGTTGGGCGGTGCTACGTTGGCCAAGGAATGAACCATTATTAATATGGGGGTGTCCCTTGTTTTGGTGGGGAGTGTTCACTTTTGGAGGGGAACACCCCCCTAATAAGCTGTGGGGGATCAACATTAAGCTGTCTGACCAACCCATTCTTTTGAATACACCCAAGTTGTTTGGCTTCCTGGAACCCACCTCCGCTTCCAATTCCCAAAGCCTTTTGGCTTGGGTCAACAGTTGCATTAACCCAACTTGAGCCTTGACCGAGTGTTGATGTGGCCATGAATTTTAATAGGGAACCACCTCAAAAGTGATTGGTGGACATGAATCCCCACCTTTAGTTGATGTGTCCACCATTTCGGGCCCCTTGTTAAAATTCCTAGCCATGATGGCTCCAAATCTCCGACTCCGGCCTCTCTACCTCTGCCAGATTCGGTTCCTGGCGGAAAGGTCGGTCTCCGTCCAACCCAAGCTCCAGTCAGCTATGTGGATGTCTCACTTGAGTGGATGGCCCCAAAACATCAATCCACTTTGTATTCAAATGGGTCTTCCCACAAGTTGAAAGGTCATTTTTTTTTGGTTGGAAAGAAGTCTATCCCAGTGCTTCAAGGCGAGAGGCCACTATGGTAGGTGAGCAGGTATGGCATGGGTATGGCTACCTCTCGGGTTTACGGCATGGTTTTGTCTGGTTACCTACTGTAGTGCCAACTGGATGCACTGGGAATGCTTTTGTTGGTCCCCCTGTGCTTGTGTTTCTTCCGTTTGGTTCAGGGGTCAAGATCAGATAATAGGGAATCGGTGGCGATTGGACGTTCTTTGGAACTTTTGAGCAGACGCCCAAGACCCCTGCTCTTTGAGTAGGTGCTTCGACTACTTGGTTTTAGTTGAGATGTTCATTGGTGGTTCTACGTTCTTAGTTGTTCAGTAATGTTAACGCTGCATGAATAAACTAAGCTCAGATTAAACAGGTTGAAGGGGAGAAGGTGGTCTGCGGGGCAGAAAATTGTAGGTGGCCGCACTGCGGGATTGAGGACGCATCCAGAAATAAGATAAAATTAGTTTGCTAGTTGGGCCGGCAGGAAAATTGATCTGCCGAGCGCGCCGTACTAATCAGGCGTGGTGCCAGAGACCTGCGTCAGAGTTTAGACTCCCGAAAGCTCGCCTTAGTATGCGGTGTTATCTATTAATCCAATGTCAATGTTAACATTAGGATGAACATCCAAGCACAGCAGACAATAGTCGCGTTGTTCGCTTACGTCTGGATTCCTTTACTCCCCTTACCCTTAGTCCAAACAGGGGGTTGCAAATGCGAATCGGGGAATCACAGTCTTTGGTTTCGCGTGTTCCCCCTGTGTCGCCTGCGAAAGCCCGCATATCGATCGCATCGGAATTTTGTGTGCCGATCAGAGGGTTTTTGTATTACACCATGTGGGGAATGACCCAGAATGGTTCAAAATAACACGGCTTTATCCGGACATGTGCATTTTTGGGGGTCATTTCCCAGTGGGTGTATTCCCAAGGTGTAATACTAAAGCCTTTAGAGGGACAAAGCTTATGGAGAGCCTTGGCAAGCCTATACGGAGCCCTGAGAAGGTAGCCGTTTGGAGGTTGCGCTGACTCTGGGACGAGGAACCACAGATCCGCGAGCTCGATCCATGGGATTCGATGTGCCGAGGACATTCTGGTGGTGGGTAAAGATGCCGGCTCCAAGACCCTCGGCGAGCACCAAAAGTACCTTCCAGCCATTAGATTGTTTTTTGAGGTTTTTAGTTGGTTGAGTGGGGAGGGGTTCCATTTATCCCACAAAAACATAAACTTTTTAGCAACCCATTTAAACAGAGGGGGTGAATATAGCCCAATCTTTTTTTTCCCATTCTTTCTAGGGATCCTCCTTTCTGGAAAACCTCCAGAATCCCAAAGGAAACGGCGGGTGTTTGAAAAGAAGGATGCTTGAGAAGAACGGGGAATCAACCTCTAGAACTCACTCGCCCGGCGGGCTATGGTCCTGGGTGTTTGCCTCTACGCTCTACCATCGGGGAAACACCCAACATAATCGGTTCAGATTCTTGTAACCACAAGGAGACGATCACCCCAATGAATATTGTTGCCCCCATATCTGTCAAACAACCAGTTTTTTATAAATACGTCCTTGCTTCTCCCCTGGTGAAATGTGGTTTTGTCAGACTCAGACCGCTCTCGGAGGCCCCCCCCACCCATCGATAAACTGGGGATTGATTCGTACATTTTATAGCGCCGGGCCATAGAGCTATGGCCATGGTCGTGGGCTGCTTGCCTCTATGTTTTTTACCAACGGGCGGAAACTTACCACTGGAATGCTAACCCTTTCCTTGGCTCCCGAGGGCGCTGTTGAAAATTTGTTGGGTCTGAAAAGGAAGCAGAATCTGAACGTACGGAGTGGACGGTTGCGAACTCCGTTTCGCACCACGAAATGAAACCATGCATGGTTGAAACCAGAACGTTTGTTGGTATCTACACGGGAGTCATCCTGCCAGGGTGTCCGAAGTGGTGCAGGATTTGGTCCATCCACAGTATGATCTATGCACAGATGTGCGGCCAATCTGTGATGCCAAGAGAATTCCCTCCAAAGCGAGGGGAATGACCCATGTTGGTATCGCAGTTTTCGGGCGATTGTCCTCGTTTGCATGGCAACTAAGGGCTCAGGCCGTACTTCACGGTGGTGCTTCGGTTACCTCCAGTTGGTGGGAACAGCACCTGTCGTCACCAAGTCAGATTCTCCTTGGTGGGGGAAGGGCAGAACCCAACACTCGACGATTCTGGAGTTAAGCAAGCAATAATTCCCAACAATGACTAGCCGGTGCTTCCAGTTACCACTATTTTTGCAGGTAACTCTTACCTTGGTTTGACAGGATGGTTTCCCCTGGTTACCTACTACAAGGGTAACTGCAAGCACTCGGCTAGAGATGTTTGGCCCTTGAGTTTGTTGCCTCAAACCGGTCTTGCTTTGTTTTTGCCTTGGAGTCGCCAAGTTTCGCTGATCACGCCCGGTGGATCCATTTACCCGCATTTACCTGTCTAGGCAACCCAGAGCAAGCGCCACCCTGTAAAAAACAGAGAATTTGTTCTGGATCCACCGTGCGCTGTAGTAGGCAACCAGGTACTTTTACCTGGGTTTTACATGAGGGTTTCTCGTGAGGCCCTGGTTACCTACTGTAGTGGTAGCTGGAAGAACGCGTTTTCGCTCCGAGGATTGTGAAAGGCTCGGGCAAGATGCAGTACTGGGCGCAGAGCTCAGAAGCCTCCCTGCCCCGACGCTCCCGGAAAAAAAAGGGCCCTCAAACAGCCAGGTTTTGAGGCCCCAAAACCCCTCTGGGGTGTCCAATGGGTCTGGGTCCTCCACTGGAAGCCGAAGCCAGCGTCTGGGTGGCTGAAGGGTGCCGGTGAAAGGCTTTCGGGGCTCACACACAAGAGGCTCAGGAACCTCAATCCAGAGGACCATACTGTGGATGGACAAAATCTGTTTCGCACCGCTTTAAAACCATGGTTGAAACCATTGTTTGTTGGTATTTGCAGGGGAATCGAATCAGAAACCAGGGGTTCTTAGGTGGTGCGGAATGGATTTCGTCCATGCACAGTACCAATCCCTCACTCCCTGAGATCCTGGACTTTGACCTTTTTGCGGCTGGAACATTTTAGTGGTAAAGGAAATTGCTGTGGGTGAAAACCAATGGTACCATTTTGGGGCTTTCGGTGCACCACCCATTTTAGGTTTCCTATTTTAGTGGTTGGATTGAATCGGATGTTCACTGGGGCTAACCGATTTGGATTTTGAGCCACGGCCAAATGTTCAGACTCTTGTCCAGTCAGGGGTTGTTCCCCTGCCAAGAGCTGATCGATTTGAAGGGATAATTTTGCTTGGGGTCCTCCGTCCGAAGTGGACAGTACCTGGGTTCCCGGACTCGGGACCTCAGAACACGGCGGCAAAATCAAAGTTCGGTGACTTCTTTGGCCAGAAACTGAGAAGACAATCATCCATATGGCTTGAACCCTTCCAATCCACTCAGGGTCCCCTAAATATGGTTAGGTTGAACATGGGGATCCTCTGAATTGAGCCCTAAGTTGTACCCGGAGTTGATCCAGGCCATGGAGTAGGTTGGGCCCTGTCACCTTCGAGTAAGCCACCAACGGCAAGCCCTTTTAAAGTCAGGATCCGTACTTGGATGTACAACGTCAGGTAAGTAGGTTATAACCACGGTTATAAGTGGGGAGTGGGGCAACTGGGGTTCGCCCCCTTGGAACCCATGGGTTATAACTCCCTAGCTGAACACCCAAGCAGTCGTGGTTGGACAAGAATCAGCACAGATTTCGCGTCCAGATGTCCAACTTGGGCACCGGGAAAGGCGACAAAACTCGTCGTTTCCGGGGAGAGTACCCGAGGACTTGGGCACCAACTCCCAGTGAACCGGGTTGGAACCCGGGAAGCCGGGGAAAAGAAGAAGAGAAGAGCTAAGAAGCTCGAAACCTTACTAGAGTGGCAACTGGAACTGGGAAGCTTTGTTACTCTTACCCCAACAAACATGACGACATCTGGATTTTGAGTACCCCACACCTCCATTCTAATTGTTTTGGGGGCCAAAGCCACAGCTTCAATCAGCGAGAAGCGACCGAGGACGAGAAGAAGTTTATGAAGAAGGTGGGTCTTTGAGTCGTTTTAAGATTCAGCGCAGGCGATGCAGCGCCTGGCAATCTCTTGCAGCGGGTCGATCTGTGCATACGGTCAAAAGCCAGGAGGTCCACTAGAAATTTCGCAAGACCACCGCGGGTAGTTTTCTGGGTGCATGTCGACAGATCGATCCCAGATCGATTTGCAGTCAGATTTTTGGCTGCCGCACTATCTCCATGTGAAAAAGCGCCAACGGCTC